AGATTGCCTGAGTGAATGTCTGGAGGTGTAGGCACCTCGGAATGATTGTGGTAAGCTAGCACTAAGTCCCTCCCCCATCCACCTTTATTCTTTTCTTTACAATAAGGCTTTCAAATAAGTCATGGCTGTACGGCAGTGAAGCATTGGTGTTGAGCACTGATGTCATGCTATCGTTGATGATGATGATGATAAAAAAGGTGTGCGGTCTTTTTGGATCGAGACGCAACATAACGGAAGGGGCGCGAAAATCAAAAGTTCAAACTTTTAGAAAGTAAAATTAGCAATAATTCGGAAAATAAAATGGCTTTTGGGGATAATGATAGCCCCAACACAGACAGCGTCACCCTGGATAATGTCCTGAAAAACACCTGGCATAAAATAAATAAAATTCACTTCTGGGGAGGGGTGGTGAGATGTTCACGAGGTCTTGATAGCTCGGGTGAATTAAGTGGTTACTACCTGGATAGCTGCTGGCTAATCTGCTCATCGAGCCAACCACTTTGTGTGCCAATTTTTTGTCAGGTAACTTAATCAGTGCGCAGTTGGCTGAGCAATTTCTCTGTTCTTGCCTGCGTTTACGTAGCTTTAAAAATGTTTCATGTCTACAGCTTGAAACGCCGTTTGAAATTAATCGTGTTGTGGTTGGTTAGTCGCGGTCTGTGCTGTGTTTTGGTCCTTGTTTTGTGTTTTGAGTCCTGTAGATACCATCCTTTCTGCTCCTTCCTGTTTGTTCCGACTAGCCCATTTGTGTTGCTTTGTGATCTACCTACCAGTTAGTTGATTAATCATCTGTCTACATTTAATTTCAGTAATTTGCCATTCTTGAGACTGACTGGTTGAAATACGCGGCTCCTTTTTTGGCAAGTCTGTTCTGTGGACTAGTTGGCTCGTTGACTGGTACGTCCTTGTTCTGCTCAATTTTGCGCCTCCTCTTCAGGTTAATTTGTTATTTGCATTTGGACCTCCGGTACCCTCCTTTGGTCCGTTGTGCTGCTCAAAGTTTGATGCCCCTGGGGTCGCCCATTCGTCAGGGAACATAACTGAACTCGATGCGGTTGTTTATTGCTTAATCGATGGAGCACCAAGCTTCCGTAAAACCGGATCCATTGATTGTTCTTTCTTGGTTTAGTGTGTTGAAATTTTTCCAGTTGAACTCATACTATTCGTGTGAGGTTTGACGATTTTTTTTAGCTGACTTCGTTTGATGGCTTGCTCTCCACTTATCCAACACAGCGTTTGTCAGACTTCAGACTGAATTTCGTGGATCACACAAATAGTCTAAGTTGTGCTTTGATGGTGTACATCGTATTGCATTCGTAGTTCAGGAAGCCTTGTTTTATGTAATCTTGTAGTGCTCTTGCAGTTCTGTGGGAAGCACTATGCCACGGAAACTTGTCACATTGCCAGGGGTTTCCAACCAGCACTTTGCTCTGCATTATCGCTTCGGATCCTTATTCAGTGCATGTTGCTGCTAGAATTCCCCAGATCCGGTAGGCTGCTCCAAGCACCTATAGGAGACACGACATATTAGCGGCTCTAGATGAAATTCCTTGGACAACCGTTTCTTTGGAATAGTTTGCATAAAATTCCCTCTTCTCCAACCTTCGATCATTTTATTTGCAGTGCGCCACAGTGCGCTCGAACAGCTTTTGTTTGTGGCATTTCAGTGGTTACTCGGAATCAAGTTCATGTAACCCGTCTTGCTGCTGATCTTCAGTCGTTTTTGTCCAGCCTAATAAGGGGAAAATGTCATTTTGCCATTGTCTCTCTAGGCTCATAGGTTCTTTTATTGACCGAAGCTTGGATGCAATCTTTCTGCAAACTACGGTCTCCTTGTGAATCTCCTGAGGAGTTCGCACCGCCGTCCTTGAATTTGTTGGAGACTTACAGTTGTCAATGGCTTTTTAATTTTGTAATACACGAGTACTTCGTTCTTCAAATCCAGCTGCAAGCCACCATGTCATGCCTCATCAAGAAAATGTTCTTTGGCGAATGCTCCAGATTAAATCTGGATTCTCCGGCAATTTTTCTGGCGCTTGGCAGCAAAACTAACTACTTATGATTTGTGAATACTGCATCAACTGTCTACCGCTCCTAACTGGGCGACCTTGAACTTGAAGTATCCAAACATTCTAACCGCTAGTCAGCGTTGAACCGAGGGGTTCGTGTATGAACTTCGCCTTGCCGTGAACTGAGGTGGAAAAGTCCTTTCTGTGTGATTCGCTCCATTTCAAGTTGACTGCTGGCAAATTCATCATTCTAACCCAAAATGGCTATTGTTATTAGCTGTAAACAAAAGCGAAAATCACAATCAAGTCGTGCGTTCATTTTACCAAACAGAAGGATGAAAAAACCACTGGTAGGTGGAGGTGAAAATGCACTAAACGTTTGCTCTTCCCCTTGGAGTACATGAACACTTCGAAACTAGGAGACAGTTGTGGGGATGAGAACTCACCAACATCAGTTCCGAAGGTATTGGAAACTTGCAGTGTCCACAGCGCTGTAGCTGAGGTTCAATAAACAATTTGATCACCAGAAGGAAAACGATTGAAATGCAGGAGATTGCCAGCGTGATGAGGTTGGTTTTTCTAATATGCTTGAATAGGTTGTAGAATACCTGTTGGGCGAAGTGAAAATGCATGTGTTGATAACAGTTTGTTGTAATTCGGCGATATCCTTCACGGGTTAGGACCCGGTGGAGGACGAAACGTTCATCCGAACATCTTCAAGTAACAAATGGATTTGAACCATTTATTGTGGTCTGTGCGCATAGCTTCCTAATGGCGTTCGGGAACTTCATAACATTAGCCTCTCGCCGCTGCAAACCTTACACTGAATCACGATATACATGGTTCGAGTTTGGTGGTTACTTCCCCGTCTTTCCTATGTGGACCCTAGCAACATAATAGTGTCTGGGGTTGTATGACCACTGTGAGCTGACAAGGTAGTCTTTTTCGGGGACTACTCAGAATTGTTGCGCCGGGACAAGAAGAGAATTAATCGAACGAGAGTGGAATTAATGTGAATTATATAAAACCCACAAGCACCTACAACTAATCAATATGCATCCAGCAGATTCGAAGCATCCGTGACACTGCCGGTGTTGGAGATTTCGACAGATAACTGACACAACCAGCACACTCACTGGGTCGTCGTTTATAACATTTCACTGCGAACCACATCGCTCAACTGTTCAGGTGTGTCTCTCGTCCGCTGGTGGAGTAGTAGCAATATGCTCCTCCAGCATGTCAGTCGTCCTAGGTTTGAATCATGGCAAGGTTTAGGAGATGGACTGCTGATGAGCTGAGAAAACAGCCAAATTCGATTCGAAAGCTTCTCCAATTTGGTATAGACTTAGCGGAGTAACCGCGTTAGGACAGGACGAAGACTGTTTGAACGAGAGCTATGCAAATGAGGGGTGTTAGTTGAAAGGCGAACTGGACCGTTTCGCGTTCGTTCCTCAGGGATTCCAATTTGTGCCACGAGTAATTTGCACTATTTGCCAAGCGGTTGTAAAGCGAAACACACATACTAATCACTACCAAAAGATCGCTGGTGTTCGATTAGAAGCGCAGCTTAGTTGAAAGAATCTTCACAGCTATCGAGACGACCATATTAGAGTTCTGGCCTAAGATGGTGACCTCGAATGTTGCTTGTTGATGCTAATGATAATTTCACTTACGACCGAAACGTGTTCGTCAGGACTCAATCCCAACGAGTACCTTCTGCAACACACCACTGACAGAAACACACACACGATACTCCCCTAGAAAAAAAGAAATCTTCTTACCAAAGGCAAGTTACAGACTGAAAGTTCCACCACCGAGGAACCAGAACTAACAAGAACAACCGGGAAGCGAGACTTCCGAGTTTCAAACAGTCCATTGGCTCCTCCTAATTATCAGCGTAATATTCACATGGTTCCAGACCAGCAATACTGTGTTCACACAGAATAAAACAAATAGAATTATTTGTCACAGGGCTGGGGAAGTGTTAAGCGTATAGAATGCAAAACGCTTTAGTTGTCTAACAAACTAAGTGTTTCATTTTAAGCGGTAAGCTTCCTGATTCTAACATTTATCAGTTTCGAGTGTTCTGTATGACAGTGGGTGACCGACTGGTGACAACCGACCATCGTCAGGATATATCTGGCCACCGTAAAAGACGGTTTGTGGAGCCTTGTTTCATATCTATAGCCTTGTTGGATACTGTTGTATAAGAGGGAATAAATATTTTTTTGGATGGTCAGTCATATCCCCTGAAAGACACCGAGTCGTTGAACGGTTACTACAGGCAAACTGAAAAGGATATTTAATGTTCTGTTTTGTGAATTCGCTGACAGAACGTATCAACCTCGATCGACGGTTGGATAGGTGCTGTTTAGCGCAAAGATCAGATCACATTTGAAAGGTGAAAGCAACCATACGTCTTTCATCCTCCTGTAAAGCCAATCAATCCGCTGAACATCGGCATCCAAGGAAACCTTATTTGGTAACCGGGAGCTACTGTCACAAACGGGGTTTTTTACTGTCCGCCCTCGGACTCTGTAACATGAAGACGTATTTTCTTTACTGTTCTGTACAGCTTGCAGTGTACCGTTTAGGTTGAAGACTGACAAATTTAAATAAAATATCTACACGTCGACACTTGCACTTTTTCAGTGGTAAGGATTGCAAAACATCCTGCCTAGGTGACCTGATTTTATGTCAAATACTTTGTGTTTCTAACAGTTTCCGGTTCAGCTATCCAGGTTTCTGCCTTTCCTTTGCCCGCGATGGAAGTTGAGAATGAAATATTTTCCATGAACGATTTTTCTCACTCTACATGTCGACCAATTTAAATGCACTAAAAAAACACTGATTTGTACCTAAATGCTTCAAGAGCATGTTATTAAAGATTAATCACTCAACAAAAAATCATGTCGTTGATAAAGCAAAGGCTCACAATCCAACCTAAATGGCAAAAAGTCAGAAGTGAATTATTCTCCGTCGCACCACTTTGAGTTCGACAAAATCAACTCGAAATTGTACCAATTGGTCAATGAGTTGACCCAAATGTGTTTCCATCTCAGGTTCTCTTTCACGATCTGGGGCAGCTGAACCTACGAAGATTCTTGGTTGCTTTGAATTTTCAGGTGGGCTTGAACGGTTCTGGATGTGTCAGAAAACAAGTATTCATACGCTTGGCGTGAACAATTTACGAGAAGGCCGTAGAAGGGCAGCTTTTTTTACTGGATGACTAACGAAACCAGCTTGTTTTCACTACTGGTCGGTAATCATAGTTTACCTTCGAATGTCTTGAGTCACCTTTTAAAATAAAGTTGCATGTTACTTAAGTAGGCCGTTTTAACCTGCGAGCAGTTTTGGCATCTCTTACTAGTGTAATTTATAGATAAAAAGCATTCTATGATCGAGGGCTTTTCGAATGAGACTTATTGATCAGCAGTAATCAATCCACCGAAAATGCCCCCAGAATAGCTATGAACGGACTTATTGAGCCGAATTTGATATTGCATGTTGTCGAACGACGTAAAACCGAACGTCAAATGCTCGGCCGTTGAGCCCAGTGGTATTCGTATCAAGTGTAACCAAGTCAAAGATCTAAAACCGCTGAATGTCACGATGTAAAATTTAAGATGTTTAGTTCTTTTGTCTTACAAAAAAAAGTAATAAGGGTTGAAAGACGCAACAGGACAAATTTTCCAAGTGGATTCTGGGGGGGGGGAGTTCAGTTGGATTCCCACTATGCTGCTACCGCGTAAATTCGGCTCAACCGCGCGAAATTCGAGGAACGTCCGTCCTTTCGTAATAATTTATGAGTCGGTCGCAATTCAAACACGACATCTTGCCTACTTTTTGCATTGGGTTGTTCTGCACAGTACTGCTTTTGTAAATAGTATGGCGTGAAAAAATCGCTGGCTATGATCATTTAATATTCATGTTAATCCGATGGTACTTTAAGAGTCTTTTCGTGTCAACGAAGGCTCACTTCCGCCGGGAAAATCGAGTGCCAGCCCATTTAACTTTGCAGTGTACAAAGCCAAAAACCGATGCCTTCCCTTTCGTTTTGGTTGGACTAGATTCCTCGCAGTGTCACACTCTATCCCAACAGGACTCGAAAATTACGGGAAAAAAACCTCTTGATGGATATGTCAAAGTTACGTTGTCGAAGAGCCAATCAACGTTTAGCAGACGGTTAGTGAATTTTTTTCATTCACATCACATGTTTGAGAGGTCCCACGCCTGTCCCGCGCAATTATTCTGGTGAGTCTAAATCAAAGACGAATTCCAGTTCCGATCTCACTGGACAACTGACATGCGAGGTAAACGAGTTACCAGTGCTCCAGTGGCGCAGAGTTCATCCACATGATCGGGCGAACGCGTTTACCATTGAATAAGGTAGTTGTTTCTCGACCTTCCATTACTTATCTCTTTGGTGTGTACTCACCAGGACAAATGCACCAGAGCAGAAAGAGATAGTTCAAACCGAAAACAACCCACAAATAATAGCGGATTTTTATTCCCATCCGAACTCATTTGTTCTTTTGTTTGAAAAAAAAACTGAAGAATATTTTTTATTGTGTCTGGATCTGTGCAAAAGTTTGACGATACTTTTGCGTCGTTGTATTTCGTCCCAACTGTGTTTACCTGTGCGGGCTAAGCACAGACAGTCCAAAATAAATATGTACGAACCATAAATGTTAATGTCAATCTACCCGCATAATTCCTTTGGTCAGTGAGGTTGCAGACTGAGAATTCTCTTATCCTACAGGTGTTGTAAAAATTAAGTCATAGTATCCAACTCTTATCATCTGTACTCCAGCATCCATTCGTTATCTCAAGTCACCCAACTATTAGATCAGGCAACACGCAAAACTATTCGGAGCTAGATCACTGCGCCAGAAGTATCCCAGTCTCCAGTTTAAAACGTAAATATTGTGGTTTGGTGGGTGGTTGCCTGGGTTAGGACTCCAAAACAATAAATGGACAAGAATGGCTACAAGTGCCTACTACCTTTGTAACGGTGATACTACTGATGGGAGGGCATGCGAGTAGTATGTTTCCTCGTAAATCCGCTTTGCGCCTCTTGAAAAGTGAGATCTGTTGTGGGATTTGTGGAGTTGCTTTGTAGCATTTGCCTGGGTTTGAGCAACAGTCAATGAATATCCACGAAAGTTCAGGAAGCCGTATTCAAGAGAAGATGGATGTTCAGTTTTTGTGAACAAGCTGCATATGAGAGTTTTGCTTCTCTGTCCAATAGTTTGTAACTGGTCAGTTGGCATTTTCTATTAAATAGCTTTGCAGCGAAGGCCTTCTTTTATTCACCTGTATGTTGAACTAACCAAAGTGTTTTGAAACACAAAATGCAATTGGATGTATCGATTTGGGCACACACTTGAGAGTACGCGGAGTGGCAATTGAGTGTCAGGTGAGATCGATAAGCGGTGGAATACGAAACGAAACCCATCATCAGTCGATAACACGAACGTTCAAAATAACTCCTCAGCCTTCTTATGTTCCAACTTTGAATCACACATTGCTCACGAAAAACGGGCTGGTAAGCTCGTGATAAACTTGTGCGTACTTCTGTGTCTCACCTGCCATCGCTGCCTTCTTGTGTGACACTCGGTTGAAGAAGAAT